CTCTGGTCCCCAGCCATCATCAGGACCACCTGCACGGAGCCTGCGTTCACTCCTGCTCTGATACGCCTGCCTTGTGAGAATTTAAAGCTTTTTTTTTTTTTGGTTTGTTTTTGATACTGGAGATTGAACCCAAAGCCTTCACGCTGAGCTATATCCCCAGAACTTTTTTTGGGGGGGGGGGTACCAGGGATTGAATTCAGGACCTTGTGCTTGCAAGGTAGGCGCAGTGCCACTGAGCTAAATCCCCGGCCCTCCCCAGAACTTTTTTATATATGAGACAAGATCTTGCTAAGTCACTTAGTCTGAACTGGGCTCAAATTTGCAATCCTCCTGCGTCAGCCTCCCAGAATGCTGGGATTACAGCCATGCCCCATCATGCCCAGCTTTTGGTTTTAGATAGGTTTGCTTGCTTGCTTGCTGGAGATTTATTTTATTTTGGTTTGGGTTGCTGGTTTGTTTTGTTTTGTTTTGTTTTGGTACTGGGGATCAAACTCAGGACCTTGTGCTTGTGAGGCAGGTGCAGTGCCACTGAGCTAAATCTGGGCCTGGTTTGGTTTGGTTTTGGTTTTTGAGACAAGGTCTTATTATATATCCCAGACTGACCTCAAACTTGGGGTAATCCTTCTGTCTCAGCTTCCCAAAGGCTGGGATTATAAATGTGGGCCACAATCCCCAGATGAATTTAAAGCTTTGAGTAAGTGATCAGGTGGGAGAGAGTACTGGCTCAGAGGGTTGAGGGTAACTAGAAAGGATGAGACTACAAGGAGGAGCTGTGCTCGATTTGGCAGCACATATACTAAAATTGGAACCATACTATAAGGAGGAGTCACTAAGATAATAATAAAGAGATAGAATGCAAAAGAATCTTCCACTATGCAAAACAGATACTTGCAAATCCATTTCCAAGGGAGCTAGTCATGCAAAAACAATGCCTTGCCTAGTGACACTGGTTCCCTTCCCTTTTGTCATCGAAGTCTCCTTTCCCTGTCAGTGCTGCCGGTGGGGATAGTAAAGAGGGAATGATAGTGATCATGACGGTTTGAGCCTGACTTGAGTGTCAGGACTTGAACTCAATTCCAAGGTAATCTCAAAGCCCATGCATGCTCTTTTCAAAAGTATGTTGTTTTGTAGACTCAGTGTCTACTTACGTTCATTAATAGAAGCAATCCAGGCATGGTGGTACATGCCTGTAATCCCAGCTCTCTGGTAGGCAGAGGCAAGAGAATCAGACTCAAGCCAGTCTGGGTGACTTAGCAAGATCCTGTCTCAAAATAAAAAAGGGCTGAAGATGTGGTTCAGCACAAAGCCCCTGGGTTCAATCCCAAGTACCCCCTCCTCCACAAAAGCAGTAATATTGCCAATAAGCCAAAAGAAGTGATCCAAAAACATTTTTCTTATTTTATTTAGCAATCAAAAAATTACAAAATAATACAAAAATGCATATTACATTTATTCATTCAGTTAATATCTGTTGAGCACCTAAATTACCCCTCCTACTTTAGGAATTCTGGCAGATTTAGGGGACTTCTGGCAACTAATAGAAAAGCTCCCTGAGGGCAGAGACGGATTTTCTTGGGGGTATTTTGGCTGCTTCTTTTGTTGTTGTTTTTGCTGTTGTTTGTTTGTTTATTTTGAAACAAGGTCTCCCTACGCAGTTTAGGCTGGCCTTAAACTCACTAAGTAGCCCATGCTGGCCTGGAATTCAGGTGATCCTCCTGCTTCACCCTGTGGAGTGCTGGGACTACAGGTGTGCGCCACCAAGCCCAGTTTGCCTTTCTTATTGACTGCTTAGGTACAGCATTAGGAAAGCTTCTTGCAGCCCTCCATGGACATATAGTGAATGAATTCACAATGGCTGACTTGGCCTGCTCCATTGTGGTGTCTGTGTATGTTTATAAGAGAGAAAATGAGACAAAGCCCTAGGTGTGCCCCAGTGGTAAAGTGCTTGCCCAGCATACACAAGGCCCTGGGTCTGATCCCCAGTACCACAAAACAAAAGGGAGGCAGAAACAGAGAGCACAGCTCAGCTAAAGAAAGGCCTGATACCTGCCACTCATTAACCAACCTACATGCCGGATTCCCTGGTCTCCAAAGGCTAAGATAACCCTAAACCCAGACACTGACCTATTCATAGGTCTTGTGGAAAAACTGTTGACCTGGACAGTAGGATTGGACTGGGCCTGGGCCAGCCCAGGCCAGTTTAGCCCCTGGGCTATTAGGCACCGCCTTGGCAACACCACTCACTGTGATAGTTTCAGCATTCCCTGCAGAACTTCAGGCTGAGGCCATCCATTCCCCAAGGCCACACCATGCCCCCTCCCTTGCTGTTTCCCCACGTTTCCCAGGTGACCATCCAGGTAACACTCAGAAGCTGTAGCAGCATAATTAGCTTCCAGAACCTGAGAGGCCGAGAAGGGAGAAGAGTCAAGTCTCTGGGCTTCCTAGACCCACCAGCCTATGACACTCGAAGCTCCCACATCCAGCCACAATAACCCCCACTCCCTGCCCCCACCCCATGTCCTGACCTTCTTGCATTTGGCTGCCAGCCCCACCACAAACTTTCTCCACCCAAGCAGGTCACAGCCCAAGGACCCTCCTCCGTTGCCCCTCAAGCTAGGCTCAAGCCTCCCAACAGACACTTCCCTTCCAGCCTTCTCCCTCCAGCTCTCTAGGCTGGAGCCTCTGATTGGACATCCCTGCTCTGCCCTGGTCTCACAGAGCTGGATGTGGGTCCCAGCACCCACATGGCCTGGAAGTTCCCTTAAGGTGGTAATTATGGCTTCTCATCCTCCCAGAGACTATGAATTGAGCATTATCTGCATTTTGGAGCTGGGAAACTGAGCCTGATGGTTAAAAGCAGCTTGTAGAGCTGTAGGAAAGGAGCACCAGAGCTGAACCCTGCCTTCCCCCACAGCCCTGGCTCTCTGCCCTGCAGACGCCTCCCCGATCCCTGCCCTTTGGAGATAACACCTTAGGCTCGGCACTCCCTGCACTGTTGACTTTTTATAACACCATCAAAACCTCCCAATTAAAGCTATAAGGAAAGTACAAATAGCCTCATTTTATAGATGAGGAGACAGAAGCTCGGAAACTCTCCATGCATTTCCCAAGGTCACAGGCAGCATAAGTTCCACAGTCAGAATTCAACCCAGCTCTTCTGGCTGCAACACTCCCAAGTGTCCCACTGCCCTGGGTCTAGCCAGAGAGCAGCTGAGCCTTTGAGTCAGGGGTCAGGAATGCAGCTCCTCTGGCCCAGCGGCCCAGCATGCAGGCTTTGACTGGTCAGCCAGCACCTCTGATGCAGGGGGGTTACCTGCAGAAGGGTCTGGCTGATCTGGGGAGGCAAAGGAGCCCCAGGACAGGTGAGCAGGCTCTCAGCACATCCCCTCCCTCCCTGGGGAGCTGACACATCCTCTTTCACTTTGCAAGTACCTCCAAGGTGTTCTAGGATTTGTGATTAAAATCAATTTGTGATTAAAATCAAAATGTTCTCTAAGATTTATGATCCAAATTAAGCAAAATTAAAAGACAAATTTTTGCATTGAGAATTGTCTTAATTCCTGGAACAATGTAGAGTAGCAGAAAAATACACACTTGTGATTCAAAGAACCTGTTTTTCAGTCTCTAACCTTCTGGGTGACAATAGACAAGTCCCTTCTCTGAGCTACACTCTTTTGCATGAAGGAGTGGGACAGCTTGTTTCTAAAATTATTCATTACTATTAATTATGTTTGAAGTTTTTTGTTTTGTTTTGTTTTGTTTTGGTACTGGGGATCGAACTCAGGACCTTGTGCTTGCAAGGTAGGCAGTGGCACCACTGAACTAAATCCCCGGCCCAATGTTTGAAATTATTGATGTGTTATGTACAAGTACCAATTCCCCACAACAAATGTAATCATTATGTACTGCAAACATGAACTAATAACAACTTAAAAATTTTTTAAAACACATTTTTTTAAATTCCTGAAATGATATTTTAAATATACATTGAAATTTATTTGGTTTTAGAACTTTGACTCACCCAGAGTGATAGCAATGCAGTGTGGGAAACATTAAACTTGGAACTGTACTTGATTTGGGTTTTCAGATTGCATTCTCTCATAAATACAGCAAATTACCATGAACTCTCTTTCTTCTTTTGCCTTCCTCACCTTTCCCTCAGCTAATAGGGCTCCTAGGGCCTGGGGACTGCCTAGTTTCCACCTGCTGCAGTAACGGCCAGTGACCACAACTGCAGCAGCAGCAGCAGCTCTTTCACTAAGCACCAAAGAGCAAAAGGCTAGACTACAGGAAGGACTTACTGCCCCAAGGAGTACCGGAAGCAGAAATATGTATCAGGGAAGGGAGGGAGGCCAGGCTAGGCTTGTTCAGAAGCCTAGAACAGATGAGGCTGGGGCAGCAGGCCTCCAGTGAGCAAGGACAGATGATGGAAAGATAACCTCCAGAGGAGGAGGTGCCAATGGAGGAGGTGAGAAGGAGATCAGACAGCCTGAATTCCTAGGAAAGCCTGAGTAAGCCAGGCAGGCCTGGAAGGAATGCTGCTGGATGGGATCTGTGTAGAACCTTCAGAGAATGAGCAGCTGTCCAGGGCCATAAACCTTATCTGCCACCCCCTCACCTTCAGAGAGCCGAGATAGCTACTCCCGGTCTCAGGCTGAGTCAGAGCTGGGGCTTGGGGCACTGTGGCCCTGCAGCATTCCTGAGTCACTCTGGATGTGTGGTCTGTCCAGAAAGGAAACAGGAGCAAAGGGGATGTCTTTAGCAGAGGTGGGGGCAAAGAGGTATATGAGGACGATTGATCCTCACAAAGGCTTAGGGCCGCAGATTCCTACCAGCCAGCTCCAGGCCAGAAATATTCCCTCCCAGCAAAGCTGGGTGCAGGATCTGGGCAACACTGTCACCTCAATTATCCCTCTGTGACTGAGCTCCAGGGTTTCTGCACAGTTCTTCAGAAGGCCTAATGCTTTCTCTCTCTCTCACTCTCTTCCACAATTAAATACCTGTCCAGCTCTAAAAGCTGCGGCTGAGGGGCCGGAGATTTAACTCAGTGGTTCCGCCTCCTGCCTCGAAAGCGCAAGGTCCGGAGTTCGATCCGTGGTACAAAAAAAAAAAAAAAATTAGTGATGAAATGAGAGAAATCTCTCTCAGAGGACAGGAGCAAGCATTAGGAAACAAGGGGGGTGCTGTTCCAGTACTGTCTTTCTCATACCCTCCCCAAGATTTGCTCTGAGCTGGGCCTGGTGGGCAGGAAGGAGAGAAAGGAGGCACTGTTCCCTTGTTCTCTGTGTCCCTGAGAAATTCCCCTGGCCCCTGCCAACCACCCCCCTCCTAGCAGGCAGGTGAGATCTGCCCTGGAGACGCTGAGGTGAGGCAGCCCCTCTGCAAGGGGTGGGGATGAGATCACCACCTGCCCTGTGCCTCCAGGACACGTACACACTCTCCTGCTTACTGTGGGAAAGTCCCTGTCCCCTCTGCCTTCCCAAAATGTCTGCCGCAAATACTGCTTTGATCTCACTTCTGCCCAACTCCCAGCTTCCCATAGCCTTCTCACTAAAGATTCAATTTCTCATCTGTCACAGAGGCTGAGTCTTCCCCACTGGCACGGGCTGCCCTCCCCAAGCCTCCCCAGGGCTGTGCTCCTCCTCCTGCAGCCCTTCACTGCCACTGCACCTGCTGACACCTTACTCTTCCTGCAACCCCCGGCTCTAGCAGACTTCATTCATTCTGCAAACATTTACCGAATGAAAATCACACACCACACCTCCCCCACGAAGCCAGCCCTAGTCACCTATGCTCAGAATGGCTGCTCCCAGGGAGACCCTAAGAATGGACCTTTGTCACACCCCTGGGCTGGGTTACACTTGCCTGTGAGCAGATATGAGCTCCCCTCCGGGACTGTAAACTCACGAATGCCTTGAATGTAGACTGTTAATGGAGCATTCTTGTATATGTGTCTCACTTGGTCTTCACAGAGACCTTAAGAGTTGAGTATATTATCTGCAGATGAAGAACCTGAAAAAAGAAGCAATTTTGTACCAAGCAATGGTCAGGGCTCAATGCAGTCCCTGGATTCACGTCAAAGCCTTCATACCAGCTCTAAGGTACCTTCCTCAAAGGCAAGGTCAAGTCTTACAGCAGTTCTGATTCCCTTAATACCCAGCATGGGAACTTCCTTGCTTCACTGAGTGAATGAATGAATGAATTCTGTCCCATCCAGATCCATATGATTCTGTCCCAGCCAGATCCATTCCCCACTCTGATCCCTATCTCCTCTCCCACGAATTCCTTCTTTCTCATCTCCTCTGCCTCATCCTGGACCCTGGGGATACAGATGATAAGGGAAGAAGCCACCTGTGACAGGAATTACAGCTAGGTTTCGGGAAAACTGGCCAGAAGGGGCCTCCCCACCCCTCCCTCTGCTGGACTCAGGTGAGTCCCAACCTCTCTACCCGCCCCAGCTCCAACAGGACACAGGTGGGGCAGGAAGGAGTAGCAGAGCAAGACAGAGAACAGTGAGAGGGTGGAAAGGGGCCAAAATTCAGTGACTCATCATCCTTGGGCCTCCCCTGGGGGCCCCAGAACATATGAAATTCCACCCCATCCCTGGGGAGACACTTGGGTGTCAATAAGCTGGACAGGAGGCTAAAGAGTTCTGTTTATTCCAAACAAAGAGACAACCATGGCAACGAGGCCAATGCCATTAGGCTGGGAGCAAAGGTCCTGGCCATGGGTGGAGCTTGAGTGCCCGATCCAGAGGGCCAGGCTGCCAGTCTGTCACCTGCAAACCATGCCAACAAGGCCTACTCTGACCCAGCACCCCCTTGTGGGCAGAGCAAGACCTGAGAGCTGGGGAGGGCCGGTCCTGAGGGAGAAACCGCCCATTTAACAGACAATATATGTTCGGATCCTCTCCCAACCCCTTCCCTGGGCCTTCTCCAGTGAGACCAGAGACAGGCAGACACTAAAACAGGGAGAGCTCTTGGCCCCTGGACTGGAGGAAAGAAGGAATGAAGAACTCAGCCAGCTGCTGGGAAGAGTGTAAGTTGGGGCATCGGTCAGACTAAGGAAGAGATAGTGAGGGCTTCAGGGGTAGAAAAGGTGGATCCTTCACTAGTGAGAGAGATCAGAGCAACAGGGTGGAGTCACAGGACACCCTCACTCCTTCCCCTCCCCTGGTCACCAGAACCATAAACTCTCTGTGCCTGAAGGGGCCCAGCTGCTGCCACCACCACCCTTAACAATGCCCTCCACCTGCCATGTATATCCTCTCCCAGCCCTGCCTCCTGTTAGGTGGAGGTGGCACGCCCTGTGCCCAGGGCCAGGCCTTCCACCTGCGCCCGGATCCCACCCCTGCTCACAGCCTGTTCCATCTATGGCTCCTCCCTCCTCCCGCTCCTCCCACCCTGTCCCAGGCTAGATCTCCCACCTGCCCATAGCCATGCTCACATTATCTCTAGTTTGGAAAGAAGGAAGGAAAGGAGGCAAGGAGGGAGGGAGGATGGGGGAGGGACAGGGTCATCTCTCTCTCCTTCTCTCTCTCTCTCTCTCTCTCTCTCACCTTGCCTCCACCTCCAAGCCCCCAAAGAAAACACCATACTTGTTCTCAATTCTCACCTCCCCTCCCAGCCACCATCCTTGGTAAAGACTAAACTACCAATGACCCACCAACAGCCAAATCTGGTGGGCTCTGTCCAAGCCTTCCCTTCCCTTCCTCCCTGGGATGTTGGACACTATCAACTGCACCTTCTTTCTTGAAATCTGTCTTCTTGGCCTCCTGACACCTCCTGCTTTTGGGGTTTGGTTTGGTTTTGTTTTGTTTTTTGAGACAGGGTCTCGCTATGCAGTTCAGGTTGGCCTTCAACTCGCTACGTAGCCTGGGCTGGCCTCAAACTAGCAGCAATTCTCCTGCCTCAGCCTCCTGAGTGCTGAGATTACAGGCATGCCCCCCATGCCCAGAAATCTCTTACTTTTCTTACCATCTCTCTGATAGCTCCTTTTCAGTCTTCTCCCCTCAATCCTCTTTATGTACCCACGTTTACATCCAGAGCCCTTAATCACTTCGGAGGGTGATGCACCCCTCTGGGCCCTAATGCAGTCATTCGGTTGCATCTCCCATATACTCAAAAGGCCCGTGGACTCAGAAACCCACCCACAGAGCCCAGATTAGGACCTGCCTCCTCCTCTTTTCTTCTGGGCCATCCCGGAATCCACTCTCAGGGACAATGGCTTCCAGATCAACACAACCAGACTCCCAAGGGAGCCACAGACCTATATTTCAATTGTCACCTGGACGTCCCACACAGGCCTCATACTTATGGGTTCCAAACTGAAGTTATTCTCTAACACCACTGTCCAGGCCTCTGGTGGACAACATCACACTTCCTCCCAAGTGAGAGGCCTGGGGACACCTGAAGTTGGGATGGAGCAGAGACGGCCTCACCAGGATACACAGTAGTTATGTAACCTGACACATACAGATCACTAGTGTTGTTACTTTTTGTTTGTTTGTTTTTTGGTGGGTTTTTTTTGGTACCGGGGATCGAACTCGGGTCCTTGCGCTTGCGAGGCAGGCGACGGAACCACTGGGCTAAATCCCCAGCCCATTACTGTTATATTGTTCTTTCCCTGAAACTCAGTTAGACACTAACTCTTGCCAATTCCATCCTTTTAATTTCCCTTCAGTTTTCTTTCTTCTCTATCTTGCTTTGCATTGCTTCTTAGTCTGAACATTCCTTATCACTGCCTTAATGACCCCAGTAAGTTCCACTCTTATCCTTTTAAGACATCCAGCTAAAACAGTCTTGCCAAAATGCAATTCTGATTATGACTTTTTTTCTGGTACTGGGGATTGAACCCAAGGCCTTTGCACTGAGCAACATCCCCCAGCCCTTTTTTATTTTTTATTTTAAGAGAGGATTCTCACAAAGTTGCTCAAGCTGCACTCAAACTTTCAATCCTCCTGCCTCAGCCTCCCAGAATGCTGGGATAACAGGTGTCTGCCACCACACCCAACTCAATCATGAGGCTTCTTTACTTCAGGCTTCAGCCTTTGGTGAATCCCTGCAGAATTTGTGACAAGTAGAGGCTCAGACTCCACCTAGGGAGAATTATTCTGCAGGTCTGGGGCACCTGCATTCATAACTCACTCCCCAGTACATAAAGTTCCCTGAGAACCAGGGAAGTACAAACTCGTCATGGTCCACAAGGCCCTTCCTGACCTCGTCCTCACAGCCTGTCCCACTTCCTCTACTGCTCCTTCCGTTCTCCACTGTATCTTGGTTCCTCATATATTCCACAAATATTTATTGAGTACTCAAGCACAGCCCTAAGAACACATGGGTGAGCAAAATGGGCACGGCTCACGAAGTAGTGGGAAAAGAGACAGTAACCAAATAACAACACTGATGAAAATATAAACTGTTTTACACTATTTTAATAAGAGAAACCTGAGCCTAGGAGAGAACATTACAAAAGAACTTGGCCTCATTTGAAGGAATTAGGAAAAGTGCACTGGAGAAGCAGTACTTGGACAAATATATAAAGGATAAGTACATAAAAAAGGCTCCAGTAGGTGGAAGAGAGTGATCCAGTGTAGGGAATGCCATGTGCAAAGGCCCTGGGTAAACAGGAGTATAACAAATCCCAGAAACAGAAAGACCACTGCAACCAGGCACATTAGCACATGCCAGTAAGCACATACCAGAAATCAGCACATTAGGGCACACCTGTAACCACAGCTACCCAAAACTGAGGCAGAAGGATCAAAAATCAAACTCCACCTGGCAACAGTAGGATCCTGTCTCAAAATAAAAAGTAAAAAAGGGCTAGGGCTAGAGATGTAACTTAGTGGCAGAGCATCCAGGGGGTAGAGAGAGAGAGGGAGGGAGAGAGAGAGAGGAAGAAGGAGGAGGAGGAGGAAGAGAAGGGGAAGAGGGGCAACAGGAAGAAGAAAGAGGAGGAGGAAAACGGGAAAGGAAAGGAGGGGAGGGGAGGGGAGGGGTTAGGGAAGGGAAGGGAAGGAAAGGAAAGGAAAAAAAGAGGGCCGGGGATGTAGCTCAGTGGTGCCATGCCTGCCTCGCAAGCACAAGGTCCCGAGTTTGCTCCCCA